TAATCTTTGGATACTGAGCCCTGTGGATACCTATAAACTACAGTGTTTGCCTTACAGTCAATGGAGACTGTTTGACCGAGCTGAACTGATTCAGCCTCAGACTGAGTCACGACAACCTGCCCAAAAGAACCTGTGAGAGAAAGAAAACTAAAACAATCATCAGTGCATGAGAAAAAAAAAGAAAAAAAAAAGGTTTAGTTTTATTTGAAAATTAAGTTACCTTGGATGCAGTAAAATGCCCAGATGAAGAGAATCATATTGGCTTGTGTTTTAGAGCGGACAGTTCTTGGACCTTTTCAAAGTGTTCACAGGACTATAAACACTCAGAGCATTGAGGCATGAGCTGCCAATGCAAAACAACACTACAGTGGAAAAACCCTTCCTGAACTGAAATATCTTCTCACTCATATAATGATGGGCACTGTATATGAATATTTTAATTATGAGTTCACAAAGGTTTAACTTTAAATTGTAAGCTCTCAAAATAGTCTGGAAGTGCCAGTGAATCCTGTGGTGGATTTTCAGTGGAGGAACAAAATTGTTTTAAGTAAGTGCAGAATGAAATACATTAGATAGATGAATTAACATAAATAATATTAGACTGTACAGGTGGACCTAAACGCATTAGATAGCATAAAGTGTAGAGAATACTGTTTTTTGTTTGTTTTAGTTAGAACTGTATTGGTACTGCTTTAAGTAATACAGGATTGTAAATTGGTCTATAAAATCCACATAAATTATAAAATATGAATGAAAAGACAATAAAACTAAATGCTGAATCAAAATATAAATTTAAATGAAAGTGATTGATGTTGTTTAGTTCTTTATCAGGTAGTGTTTGTATTAACATTGCTGTTAGTAAAGGAATGACATAGTACTTTTTTTTACTATACATTTGGAATATTATGAAATTTAAACTTGTTTAATTATGCAGATGTATATTATTTAGCTATCTGCTATTAGTTAGGAGTAAAGGAGCAAACTGGTTAGTGTCAGTGTCAGTGTCAGTTTTAGTGCAGGAGGTTTTTGTACAGCTGGTGATTGGGTTTGTATCACTGTGGTGGACTTTCGGTGGAGGCACCCGACTCTCAGTTGGAAGTAAGTAAATCTCTTTCTATTTTGAAAATGAAAATTGAATGAAAAGAACAAAAAGGGATTTTTAAAAAAAATTATCATTAAATCTTAAATTAATATAACAAATATAAGAATAAATTATCTGAAATTTTCCTTGTGTGATATTACCAAATCTATGTGCACCTTTCTTATTTTTCCTCCAGACTATTTTAAAACAATAACTTCATTGTTTTAATCACTTTATTACCTTTGTAAAAAATTCTTGTTGTTTTAACTTAAAAAAAGTAAGAAACCCGGTTGCCTTCAAATTTTGAGTTCATTGAAACAAAATTTTGAGTTAATATAAGAAAAAGGAACTAATCAACAGAAATTTGAACAACAATCTGAACATCATTATCTAAGCTGATTTCACAAAACAAAGTTGTTATAACAAATCATTAAAATAATGTTTTACTGTGTTGAGCGTTTATCCATCAGAATGGTAAATCATATTTGACAAAGAATAAATGCTTGTTTATTTTTTAACTGATTTAGCATGAGATAGAATTTTAACTTGTGCATTAGTGCAATCTGTCTCTACAAATATATTTAACAGAGGCAAAACAATTTATTAAAAAAAAAAGTTTTTTGAATGTCAGACAGAAATGTGTCTGGGTTCAGGTTTATTTTTCAGTTACACTCCATGGTTGAGTTAGAAACATATCAAACAGCTTAACTGTAAATAACATATTGTACATTTTTAACAGAAAATATTTGTATAATAATTTGAACAAAGGAC